GTTTGGGTGGGCGAGACCTAGCTTAGAGGCGTGAGTGGTCAATAAATAAGATGTGACAGATCGGATAATTAACAAGAAAGTAATGGGCGGGACCACAGACCGGCGCAGGAGGCCTCACCCAACCAAATCCAATACTTACATTGAATGATCTGGGTAAGGGATAAGAATACAACAGTAATCTCGGATTTGAGACGCATCTAGATTTCGGAACGAAATCGAGAAGAGTCAGATATTCCAGAAAGGATGTTGGAAAATGACCCCACCTAGTTCAGTCCCCCTTTTCTCTCCCGAAATACGCCGGAGCAGAGAAGAAGGGGTATATTTGAGACCATCCCACCCGCCCTACACAATGCTTACTATATTCATGAACTTGCTGATCATTCAAACACTTTGGGCCTGGGTACACCCAGCCCAAAGGGTTACTTGTGGCGAGGCCCTCCTGCAGGCGCAGGAGGCCTCACCCAACCAAATCCAATACTTACATTGAATGATCTGGGTAAGGGATAAGAATACAACAGTACTCTGCAATAGCCCCGCGTACGTCACCCAGTGTTGTCGAGAATCAAGTCGCACGATACGACGCCACGTACGGTGGCGGTGTCGACAAAGTTCCACAGATCCCCCGAAGTAGGCATAGGAGTTTTTGTGGCCTCGGCGTAACTGCTGTCGTCTTCGCATCCGTTCGCCCTTTATTTGCCTACTGCTGTACCGGAAAAAAAAAAAAAAGGTGCGCGTTTTTCAGGGGTTTGCATCACCGTCCTCCGCGTGTTCGCCTCGGGCTAGCAAAGGGGGGGAACGGGGGCGGGGCGCGCGGGGGAGGTGGGAGCGGAGGGGGGGGTAAAGGGGGCTCCGGGAGTGGTGGAAAGGGAGGGCGCGGGGGGGAGGGTATGGGGTACAAGGACCTCGGAAACGACTGGCAGCACTCGTTGGTGCTGGCAACCGGCAGCGCGGACGGGAGCATTCACGTCTTCGACTTGTCCAAGGGCCAGGTCAGTCGGTGTGTTGTGTTGTTGACATCGTCGTCAGTAAAGCAGGCAATTGTTGAAACGGACGGGGTGTAATTGTTGCGGGGATAAGGGATTAAGGAGAAAGGTTAGGTTAACTCGGTTGTGTAGGTCTCTCGATGGAGAGTTCCCGACGCGGTCGCGATTTTTGTTTTCTTCTGTCGATGGTGCCTATTTAGAGCAGGTTTCCGTGTCCAGAGGGGATGGTTAGAAACAGTCATGAAAATGCCACCACCAAGACCCCAAGAATACGTGTCGTGGGGAGGTACGCGGCTTTGTCAGATGACTCGGTGGATCTTGAGTCGTGGGTTACAAACCAGGGCAAGCCTGACGTCTACCGTTGCATCAGACACACAGCAGCTTCGCCGACTACAACGTAGCCTGCTTTCATGTACGGTGGGTGCACACCTGTCTTGGCTCACGCCTCTTTCGTCCCCCTTTTCCTATCGAGAGGCGTGTCTACTGTGTCCTCCACACCACCACACACACACGAAGAGTATCGAGCCCGTAGCGAGTTCTTCGGGCTCAAGACAACGCACAAAAAATTGGATAGCTAGGTACGGCGCAGGAGATCATGCTTGTTCGTCCCTCTTTGACTGTTTATACTGCGATCACGACCCCCCCTCACGATAATTTTCCCTTTCTCTGGGACCCCTTGTGCCCGGCGTGATGCGTTGGCAACACACAGGGCGATGAAATTCAGACGTTGCTAGGGCACAGAGATAGGGTTTACTCGGCTGACTTCCACCCCACCGAGCCGAAGCTCGTCTCTTCCAGCGCGGACAAGACTGTCCTGATATGGGAGCCGAACAGGAAGCGCAACTCACGGAAAGGATTTTGATCAGCAGATGTGTGAGGGTGCGCGACTTGGCATTTCAGAGAGCAAAAATTGATTTGTGGACTACGTAGATTTTGATTCGGAGATTTCCCTTCGTAGGGTTTTTTTAATGGGCGCAGAAAACTCAATCCCCTAGGGGGCTTGAGAATTAGAGGATCAACAAATTTTATGTACTTAGTAGTTGATCAATTGCGCGCCCGTGCGCGTGTGTCAGCTTCTCCCTTTGTCTCTTTTTTTTTTGTCTTCTTCTCGAAGAATGTCGACCGGCGGAGTCACGACTGAAAAAGCCCCACCAACGAATTGAATGCACCGAAGGGACGTGTGTCATCTTCCCCCCCCGTACATCCCCCCCCGAGTCTTGTTGATTGGGTTTACCCGAACACGTAACAATGTTGTTGTCGAACTGGAGGGGGGCTTGCTGGAACGGAAGGTATCCCCCCCCCCCGGAGAAGTTAGGTGGCGTTCTCCTTATGGAACCCACCCGAAGTTGTATCGCCCCAGCTGATTGGACGAACACGCATAAGCTGGACCTGCAGGCAGCGTTGAGGCCCGTCGTGGTAGTGTTGGGGTCCGTTTGTTGAAAGGCGTCCTCCATCTGGTGGGCTGTAGACATGGGGGGGGGGGGGGGGGGGGTTTTTTTCCCAAAAACCAAGGGGACTGGTCCCAGGGGAGGGGGGCCCCTGGGAAAAGGGGGGGAAGGAAAAAGGAAATAAAAAAATTTTTCCTGGGGGCCATTTTTTTTTTTGGAAAAAGAATTTATTTTTTGGTTTTCCAAGGGAAAAAAAATGTCCCGGGGGAAAGGGGAATTTTTTTTCTGTTTTTTTTT